CGTAAACGTAACTTAATTAACTAAACGTAAGTACGGTCGGTTGGTCGTATTTACTTACTTACTACTATACAACAACTATATATATATATATATATATATATATACCGAGAGCAACCCAAATGAGGCAGAGGTATTTGAAACTTTCGAATGAATAAAAAGAATTGTACCGAAACCTTTTAAGACTCTTGATTCTAATGTTAGATGCTATATTCAACGTATATATACTGAAAACCAACGAGGCGTGCCTAAATCATCCACAACAAGTGGTGCCAACTTGTTCATGAAGTGTATATATTAGAGAAGAAGAAAAAACGTGTCAAACTATTCATGCAATGTGACCAGACATGCCGAATGAGATGTACTCTCAGTCATGTGTGTTTGTATCACTTCCAGCGATAGGCTATGGATCATTATGTGTCTATCAACTATAGAAACAGAAAGATAAACAGCAAGTACCGTATGGAAGTTACTGTCCAAGTTATACGGTGACCGTATTCCAGTTCGATGTTCAGGTAGAATATTGATTGTGGGACATTAGCGAGAGGGTGATACTGCAATCATGAGTGTTATATAGTTCAGCAGAAGCACAAGTATACCAGTAATCATGCAGTACTAAATATTATATTATCGATGGAGGTCGGAGGATGTCCGGATGAAGTCCAAATCATCATCACCGATAGCTTTCGAAAGTGCCATTTAGAAAGTGTCATTTTGAAAGTTCCTCCAAAATTAGAAAATGGCGCGCGAACATGTCCTATCTTTAGATGCAATTTTCATTGGCCCGTGGTATTAGCGGCCTTACTCCTCTTTTTCTCTCCCTTTTCTTTTGAAAAATAACTCGGGAAGTATAAAAGGCCGACAAAAATAAGGGATATGTACATATGTAAATATCAAATTGAAGGATACGTCCGCCACCTGTGACTGTGAGCCTGTGTGTAAACAATTATTTATACATACACAATAGTAGATTTACGTATTTATATCTATTTAGAAAGGGTATGTATACATATGACTTTCGACCTGGTGAAGTTGACGTGCATACACAGGGAAGACAAGATGGCAGCCGAGAAGAATCAACCAAGTGCGGAGGTGGATGCGGACTCTAAGTACACCATCACGCTTGCGGTAAGGTTTCTTATTGGCAATGTCGTTGCAGTTCGATAAGGTTCATTCGCAGCAGACAAGTGTATGTAGTATGTATTGATGCTAACGTTCGCATATGAAATCATCGTATTCGAACTCGTGAAAATCACTCGATCACCATCTGCACTACACTTGTTTTGTGCAAGTGTTAATCTTCGTTGTATAGACTTGCGACCACTTCCTTTTGAGAGTTGTTCGTGCTTGCATACTTACCGAGAACTTATTCAGATGTGTGTATATATATATACGAGTGTGCATGAGTTTTTAGAGAGTATGTGTGTACATGTGTGTGAGTTTGTGTATGTGAGGGGGCAGTCTGCATATATATATATATATGTGTGTGTGTGTGTGTGTGTGTGTGTGTGTGTGTGTGTGTGTGTATATATATATTCTTATATGTGTGGGTGGGTGTGTTTGTATGTAAGTGTATGTGGGTGAGAGAGACTCTATATGTATACACGTGTATGTGACTATATGTATGTATATACATGGTTGTGTCTTTGTCTGTGTCTTTTTCTGTGTGTGTGTGTATATATATATATATATATATATATATATATATATATTATGTTTATGTATGTATATATATATGTGTGTGTGTGTGTGTGTGTGTGTGTGTGTGTGT